CAATTCAGATTTTACATTTGTTGATTAAGATTTTACTATTTTCCAAAAAAAAAAATACAACTATTAATTTTTCTCTAAACAAAAATCAAACAGTTTCATAAGCATCTTGTCTTTAAAAATGTAAAACAAAACAGTTATTTATTCTTAAACAAATTGCTCAAAATAATCACAAACCATTTACAAGAATATGCCAACGAAATTATTCATTAATTTACTATATCTACACCCAAAAAATACGCCTCACTTTTTTTTGTGAAGCTTAATATTCAATACAGCTAAAAGTTGCACCAAGATATGCACAATAGTAATGACCACCGAATTTTAAGATGACTCTTATTCCCCTTTATCTTTTGATTATGAGTTTTTTTTTTTTAGACAAATCTAATTGGATGACTTCATACCAAAAAAATAAATAAATCTAATTGGATAATCTTGTCGTTTGATTAAAAAGTTCAGCGATGCTAATCTCAAATTGTGTTATGATACATTGATACTTTTCTAGTGGATTACTTTTGAATGGCGTTATTTCCCTCATACATTTCTGCATCTTTGCGACTAAAATAGGTACTAATTATTACTTTGCGGGTTACTTTCAAATTTCAATTAATAGCAGGTGCCACGTGGTATGGAGACAGAGCGTGCAGTTCAAACTCCGGAGGTAAAAGAGAGAAAGGTGCTCACTTTCATGTTTGGGCGACACGTATGCAAATTTTCCAGGCTGTCCAAAGCTGTCTTTCTTTGACGCGACTTTCTCTGCTTCGTACGCAACACGCGCCTCCACTTCTTATTATAGTATTAAGGTACAAATTATTCGCCTGTCCATATAAATTTGATTTCATACGATAATAGAATGTATCTACTTTCTTATAGTCTTTACAAGTTTAATTTATACAAATTAACCTTACAGTTTATTTTTTTCATAAATATCTGCAGTATTACAATGGAATGTATGTGTAATTAAATGGAATGTCTCAAGAACAAATATTACAATATCCATTATTTGGGTGTTGGGTCCATATTCAATCTTCAGTGTTTTAAATTAGTTGGTCCTTTTCGAAAGAAATTAAAAGAAAGAAATAATGCTTCCGATAATCATGAATTTTCTGCATTAATGAAATGACTGAAAGGCTTTTGCTATATGCTTTTTTCGTAAATGCCTTCAAATCACACCATTGTCAACCTTTTTTCTTCTCTCTTTTTCGTAAATGACTTAAATAATACAAAGTTCTTTACAAAATAAAATAGAAAGCAGATTTAGCCATTTAGGTGAGGAAAAGAAAAAGGAATAATTCTAATTCTGGGATTCATGCAATTAAGGTGCCCCTACCAACTATGAGTGGTCTCTCTGCCACCTCATATCGATTGATGGCAATTCACAATTTTTGTTTGTACAAATAAGTTTTTTTTTCTAATTTATTTTTATTTATGTGTTTGTTTCTCAATTATTATAGCTTTTTTTGGTATGCTGTTTTATTTTTATGACAGATGATTTGATACCATATTCATTTCCTGTCTTCCACCAGAAGGAGAAATCAATGAGAGAACTTGATTGCGATCCATTAAAACAAGTATAAAAAAATGATGATAATTAAGCTAAAACTTATATGACTTTGTATTTGTATTAAAACTTATATAAAAAAATATGTGATCAAAATTTGTATTTGTTTTTTACATATAATATTGTAGCGATCTTGATGGGTCGAATCAGAATTCTTATCATATCTTTGTGTTTTTCCTTGCAATAATTTTACAGAGAAAAAAAATAAAAATTACAGAGCAAAATCTATATCAGTGAACGAGGAAAGTTGGATTTATATAAATTATTCTGTCGGGTACTACGACTATATAATATAATAATATGATATGATTAATGTTTAAAGAATAGTGTTATAGTTATTTAGCGTAACCACCAGTTATGTGTCTGTTGTTATACGTACATTTTGATTAATTACTCTTGCGTTTAAATTAATTTTAGCAAGTATAATCAATAATGTATGGTTTTATAAATCGAAAAGACACCTGGTCAATATATATATATATATATGCTTGTTCGGAATCATTGTTGTCATTATTATTTACCCAAATCTTAGATGGTGTGTAAAATCTAAGGTGATAAAGTGATAAATTAAATCACAAACAATACAAAATATTCGCGAACAAAAAATCATAAATAAAACGTAGTTGGCAAAGAAAAAAAAACTATAATACGTGTATTATGAACTAATAGTGATTCGTGCAGATTTGCAGGTCGATGAATTCTCATGCAAATAACTTAAAATATTATTTTTCCAAATTGACACGGTTTCTAACATTGAGCAATCGATATCATAACACAGAGATATATTGCGATTCACGAATGTATAACTCTTATTAAATCTTAGTATTAGTATACAATTGTTTAACACATACACCCCAAACGATTCAAATAGGCTTCGACCAAATCAATGTCGTAAATCAATGATGATCATTATAATTTATAACCTCATCCATCTATAGTTCTATACCATAAATTAAAGCACCATGAGAATAATACGATCATCTAGTTCATCATTTGATGATTGTTTACAAAAATGTTTAGTTCATTAGCTTCAATTCTAAAAGTCACTTAAAAATAATAATACTCTGAAAGTGCTACTTTTGCAAAACAAGGCTTATATCGTAATTATCACTTTTAATATAAATTCGATTTTCACACCGTGGAAAACATTATGAGGTCTACGAGTTTGGACTCAATTAGTAATTGACTTTTTTTAGGGCAGTGATATGGTTTGCTAGGAATTGTGGAAAAGTTATGGCTATTTGAGTTATCACTGAAAATTATGTTTTATATAATGTATTAAAAAGGAGAAAACTTCTTTTTATCATATATAAACAAAATGAAGAAGACTTAAAATAGATGTAATTTTAATTACAATAATCCTGATGATATTATTTTATAATAAAATACATGTTGTATTTGAATTTACAGAACTGATCATAATTTTGCTATAATTATTTATAGGTTTACACATTACAGTAAGAATTTTAAACCAACAAAAAATGTGAATTAAATGATAAATAGGTAAAGAAAAAAAAAAAAAAAAAAAAAAAAAAAAAAAAAATGATAAATAGGTAAAGAAAGTGACGTAACAAGACAATATAACATGTAAAAATGGATAGAGATGAAATAAATTAAAAGGGATCCGTAAAAACGGCCGTCAAGAGGAAAGGAAGCAAGCAGACTCGGTCCCTACCGTTTGAGATCTAATAAAAATAGGACACGTGTTCGAATCTCATGAATTTTAGTGGAGACCACAAAAGTTCCAACGGCGTATAGTTACTGAAAGCTATATTGTGGGACCCATTTACACGTGGAGCCATCACGTGCTGTCAGTTCGAGTTTCCCGAAGGGTACGAATGAATATATTCTTTTTTTTTTTAATATTGATAGAAAGAGACCGTTAATGACGGCGTTAAGCAATGTAACGGGAATCTCTTTGAATGATTTGACGTTGACGGACGCGGGCCGTTATGCTTAAAAATGGGTTTTCTTGTCGCACCATTCTTTTTTTTAATTACCCTATTAATCTCTTGTTTTGAGAGACGATCAAAATTAATTGTATTTTTTACATGCAAATTTATACTCTATAATTAACTAGTCTTTCGACAAAAAAAAAATTAACTAGTCTTTCGAGCTATGAATGGTTGTTTTCTCATGTAACTTAACTTTTAAAGGCTTCCCTAGTAATATTATAATATTAGGTTTGCTTGCTTGATGATTTATATAGTCGAAACTTTAATATATACCATCAAATGTCATTAATTAAATATTTTCATTCGTGTTTTATATAGTTTTTTGTTGCCTTCGTAAGTTTTAAGTGGCTAGTTATATTTTTTATTTAGACTTTGACAGTAACCGTAGATTAGCATGTTCACTAAATAAAAATAGGCCTATAGTTTAAGAAACCTTGGAAATTAGAGAAAAAAATAAGGCCTAATAAACCTTTAAAACTTAAAACTTACTCCTATAAAAGAGAACTCGAAAATTGAAACACATTGGTCCGATGATTTCCCAAGACCCAATTACAGAATCTTTTTTAGAAATATGAATTTCTGTATATAAACTGAAACTGCAAGACTTAAAAGTTACTGTAAATTACTAGTACTATTGTTAAAACCAAAATTTACTATTCTTTTATCTGATCGTACGCATTTTTAGATTCATGTTTTCGATGGCTAGGGTTAAAAAGGTGATTATATCTCTTACATTTCAAAATGTGATTAAATATATCATTATTTTTACAGCCAAGACATATGGTTGAATTATTATTACCATAGAACCTGGGAACTAAAAACAGTATCATGAGCTGAATTCAGCTTTTAAGTTGAATTTAATTATCCACTGGAAAAAGCATCTTCAGTTCCTCCATCAAAAGAATCAACAAAAAAGCCCTAACTCTCTATTTTATAGATTTGACAAAAGTTTAATGATTCTCTCAACAATTAAACAAAAACTATTATAGAGAAAAAAACAAAAAACTATAAAAATGTTGATTTAGTAGATCCACAAGTTTTTACTAGTGCATCAGATCTTGTGATCGAAATAAAAAATACACATTATAATTCACTACAAAAATGAAAGTTAATCTTCAAATATACAGAATTTGTAAATGTTCTTAAAGTTTTATTTTTACCACCGGTAAATTATATGATAAGAAAAATAAAATTAGTAATGTGTGTTGTTGTAATTTCACAGCCTTATCGCTTTCGAGGTGTATATGTTAAGCCCTCCTCTATCTGGTACATTATTCATTGGTCGTCGAGCCCCATCACCACCATTCTTTTTTTTTTCCTTTTTAATTTCCATCCAGAATAAATATCTTTTTTATTTTTTTCTGGTAAATAAAATTATGAGAAATTATTATTATTAGTTCGTATGTGAATGATGATTGAAGTGGTAGTAGCAGTGAAAAACAAAGCAATCCCCACCCATTTCCTCTTAAGATTCTTCTTCTTCACCTAAAGAGAAGTCACATGTTCCTTCTTCTTCATCCCCAAAACAAAAAAAGCAAAACCCTAGATCCGAGATCAGACCCAATCGGTGAGAAATGAAGAGAGATCTTCATCAATTTCAAGGTCGATTGTCCAACCACAACCACGGGACTTCTTCTTCTTCATCATCTTTACCCATTTCTAAAGATAAGATGATGATGGTGAAAAAAGAAGAAGACGGTGGTAACATGGATGATGAGCTTCTCGCTGTTTTAGGTTACAAAGTTAGGTCATCGGAGATGGCGGAGGTTGCTTTGAAACTCGAGCAATTAGAGACGATGATGGGTAATGTTCAAGAAGATGGTTTATCTCATCTCGCTACAGATACTGTTCATTATAATCCATCGGAGCTTTATTCTTGGCTTGATAATATGCTCTCTGAGCTTAATCCTCCTCCGCCTGGTTCTCACGGTTTAGATCCGATTCTTCCTCTGCCGGTCGCCGGAGATTCTTCAACTATTACCTCGATTGGTGGTTTTCCGGCTTCCGATTATGACCTCAAAGTCATTCCTGGTAACGCGATTTATCATCAGAATCAATTTCCGGCGATTGATTCTTCGTCTTCGTCGAATAATCAGAACAAGCGTTTGAAATCATGCTCGAGTCCTGATTCAATGGTTACATCAACCTCAACGGCGACACAGATTGGTGGAGTTATAGGCACGACGGTAACAACAACAACAACGACGGCGGCTGAGTCAACTCGGTCTGTTATCCTGGTTGACTCACAAGAGAACGGTGTTCGTTTAGTTCACGCGCTTATGGCTTGTGCTGAAGCAATCCAGCAGAACAATCTGACTCTAGCGGAAGCTCTGGTGAAGCAAATCGGATGCTTAGCTGTGTCTCAAGCCGGAGCTATGAGAAAAGTCGCTACTTATTTCGCTGAAGCTCTTGCACGGCGGATCTACCGTCTCTCTCCGCCGCAGAATCAAATCGACCATTCTCTCTCCGATACTCTTCAGATGCACTTTTATGAGACTTGTCCTTATCTTAAATTCGCTCACTTTACGGCGAATCAAGCGATTCTTGAAGCTTTTGAAGGTAAGAAGAGAGTTCATGTCATTGATTTTTCTATGAACCAAGGTCTTCAATGGCCTGCGCTTATGCAAGCTCTTGCGCTTCGAGAAGGAGGTCCTCCAACTTTCCGGTTAACCGGAATTGGTCCGCCGGCGCCGGATAATTCTGATCATCTTCACGACGTTGGCTGTAAATTAGCTCAGCTTGCGGAGGTGATTCACGTCGAATTCGAATACCGTGGATTCGTCGCTAACAGCTTAGCCGATCTTGATGCGTCGATGCTTGAACTTAGACCGAGTGAAACGGAAGCTGTTGCGGTTAACTCTGTTTTTGAGCTCCATAAACTCTTAGGTCGTCCCGGTGGGATAGAGAAAGTCCTCGGTGTTGTGAAACAGATTAAACCGGTGATTTTCACGGTGGTTGAGCAAGAATCGAACCATAACGGACCGGTATTCTTAGACCGGTTTACTGAATCGTTACATTACTATTCGACTCTGTTTGATTCGTTGGAAGGAGTTCCAAGTAGCCAAGACAAAGTCATGTCTGAAGTTTACTTAGGGAAACAGATTTGCAATCTTGTGGCTTGTGAAGGTCCTGACCGGGTCGAGAGGCATGAAACGCTGAGTCAATGGGGAAACCGGTTTGGTTCGTCCGGTTTTGCGCCGGCAAATCTCGGGTCTAACGCGTTTAAGCAAGCGAGTATGCTATTGTCAGTGTATAATAGTGGCCAAGGTTATCGTGTGGAGGAGAATAATGGATGTTTGATGTTGGGTTGGCACACTCGCCCGCTCATTACCACCTCCGCTTGGAAACTCTCGGCGGCGGCGCACTGAGTTTGGCTGGATGCTCACGGTGGTGATATGGTGACTCGAGTCGGTGAATTCGAGATTGAGATCAGTGGACCGGTGATGACATATGTTCGGACCAGACCAAAACCGAACTGAATCGAACCGTTTTGCCTTTTGTTTATTTTATTTATTTTCACCTGTTTAAAATTCTTATATATCGTTTTGGTAGGTCATTTTTAATTTATGCCTTTTTTGGGATCAATTTTAAATAGGCTGAGTTTGTATTTATTAAATAATTAATATTTATGAATTTTAAAATAAAACTATGTTTTAATCTCTCAATTTTTTGGCAAAAAAATATTGACTTCACTATGTATGAACAGTAGTAAACAAATAATTAGTGAATCTAGATATTTCTAATTTGTTAATGAGGTTTATAAAGTAAAGTTGAAATAGAAAAAGGGATGATAGCGAGATATAACTATTACAAAAAGTACTAACTTACTAAGCGATAATTTCATGAAAAAAAGGGTTTTGATACTTTTTAGTGGAGTGTGATAATACAATTTTTGCTCATATTTTTAACTAATTTCTCATTGGCTGTAATCATATCGAAAAGCCAAAATTTATGAATTGTGGTGAAGATATATGTTTATCTAGATCGACACATCAACTTTTAGATCCGATGTTTTATAATCACAGGCGTCTGTAACTTATTAATGTTAAACAAACCCTCCTACAGTCTCGTAGAGTAGACTCATAGGAGATATACATATTAAAGTCTAAAACCTGGTCTAGATGCATTGTTTATGTTCAAGTACATGATATTTTTAAAAACCGCCGGAACAACTTTTGAAATAAGATAATATCCTAAGTATTTTAAATGTTACCTGCACATTTTGATCTCGAATTATTTTTAGCTAGACGATTATTATAATTAAGGTTCCAGAAATTAGTAGATGCCCCACAACACAAGGCAGCTCAGTCTTAAAAGGATTGAACCGACCCATTTCGTATTTTTAAATCAATAATTACATAAATAAATCTATAATCTCGATTAATAACGAATAATTTGTCCACATTTCTTATTCACTGATGTAGAATTGTTAATCTTATCTTAAAAAATGAAATTTACTTTTAATTAGATACAAAAGGAAGGTCCCACATGCATGAAATGCTTTTTAACCACCAAGTTGCCAACTTGCATGTGTGCAAATTCTCCATTGACCCCACGCTTGATTTTAAACAAATATTTCTTCTTTTTTTCTCTATCACATCGAGTTTCTATTTTTTCTTAGAGTATATCATAGGGGTCCATATATTAATCGATCATTGTCCTTTCAAATATTTCATCACAGAGTATACTATTATAAATGTATAATTTTATATACGTCTAACCATACAGAAACATTGAATTTCTGAAATTATTTTGCCTGCAAGATTCGATTTTCTACAACTTCTATAATAGTGTGAATCGAATTTTCATTTAATATTATTGGTGTAACAACTTTGGTAGAAAATAAATGTTTTTTTTTTTAAAACAACAAATCTTTAAACCCGATATAACGACCCTGTCAAGATCGGATCACCATTCTAATCCCGTCATAGTATCCTCTAATTTACTTACACCAATTGTTCGATTTTGCGTAAAAATATATTAAAAAACGATCCATTGATTTGTATAACGTCAGAAATTCATTTGGGACAGTAGGCGGACCAGATTAAATAATGCTACGTCTTTTTCATCGTTTTACTTTCTTTTTTTAAAAAAAAATATATGAAAGGAGGCACTGAAAAGCAAATTGAAAATGTATTACTCACCTTTCTATTTATATCTCATTTTTTTTACCAACTTTTATTTATAACTTTGTAAGACATAGGGGTTACATTTTATAGACAGCTCTATAACAGGGTGAAACGGATTAATTTTACATTAATAAATCCTAGTAACTTATAAAATGTGATTTCGAAAAAGAAGAATAAAATTTTGTAGGATTTTTGGTTTAAAGATAACTAGAAAAGTTTTTATTCGCGAACCTGGGAATAGAGTAGTGCATGTCAAGGACCAGTAAAATGAATGTGATATTTAATTTTTTATCCACTTAATTCTGATTTATCCATATTCGGGAGCTCCAATGCTCCATTATCAATTATTTTTTACTTTTTCGGACAGAACAGTTCCATTTATTAATAATAACTGTATTTATTTGCTTTTCATCGTATGAATTTTTTTACCAAATTTTTATTAGGTATTTAATATGGATATATGATTAGTCATCAGTCCTTGAAATAGTATTTCAACTCCTTTAACCAAGATAAGAATGGCCTCTCTCATTTCTAGTGCCATGGCCCATGAACATGATGATCTATTTGTATTCAATTTTACATTTATTGAATTCATTGATTTCGAATTGAAGTATTCTTCTATGATTTATATGAAAAAATGATTTTTAAAACTATACAGTTTGAAAATAACATGGCAACGTAATATACATATACATATACATCTATATATAATATATATAGATGAAATAAATTTTTATGATAACTTGCAGGATTAAAAATGGATTAGATTCATTCAATGGATTACTTATAAATTATGATCTAAATGGTAACCGAGGAATCTGGCTGAATCCGGCTGAATTGCTGAATCTGGCTAAATTTTTAGTGATTTTCAGCTGAATTTGGCTGAATTTTTACATTTTCAAATGGTAACAGCTGAATCTAGCTGATTTTTTTTGTGATTTTTGGTAGAAACTGTAAAAATAATTCAGACTTTAACTAAAGATATCGTCAAATAATTATGAATATTAATAAAATAACTAAGAAAATATTTAAATAAAATAGTTAAAATTATCTAATAGTCTAATTAACTCTTATACTAATAAATAAATATTATTATAAATAATATATTGGTTAGCACAATTTAGTTGTTCTTCCATATTTTATTTTTGAACTATTAAAAAAGATGTAATTAATTAATAAAAAGCTTTGTCAAAGTACTATTGAAAAAATAATTTCAAAAATTAACATGATAATATAATTTAGATTATCTAATTGTTTTTCATTATTTTTAATAGTTTAATCATTAATATGATTAGGATGATTAAGATTTGTTTTTGATATTTTCAATAATATTTTAGCATAAGTATGAGTTTCTTACGAATTTTTTTAAAATTATATTAAATTATCTAAAAGTTATGAAAATTATCCAAAATTATTTATAGTCATCCGAATATGAATTCGTCTCTTATTTATTCTGGTAGTGATTTTATTTATCTAAATTATTCATATATCGTATTTGTATGATCTGGCTTATTTTAAAATATAAATTTGATGTGTATTTTTTGATATCCAAAATATTTTAATACGAGTTGTGTACTCGCTATAATCGAAATTTTTACCTGAAATTAACATACTACGTATCTGTTGGTGTTGGAAAAACTGCTGAATCTGGCTGAATTCTGCTGAATTTAGTTTTATGCAAATGGTAACTGCGGAATTGCTGAATCTGGCTGAATCCAGCTGAACTTTTTTTTGATGTTACCATTTACACTCCATGTAAAGTCAACTTAGCTTTCCACACTCTCTACATAAGCTAATTTTGTTGTGCAATAATTTCCCGGCCCAATAATAATAAATGGGCCGTAAAAAGCTCCACATAACAGTCAACAGTCAACAAAAGTTTTTATAAGAAAGTCCATAAATAATCAATCAATCAATAAAAGAAGCAAAATAATTTCCCGCTCTCATTTTGTTTCTCTATCTTGTTTCCGTTAAACCCTTTTGACTAACTCTTATCAGAATCTCTCTTTCCTTCTCAAAAATCTCCATTTCGGATTCAAAGAAAGCTAAAGATTGGATCCTTTTTCAAACCCAAGAAAAGATCGCAGAGAAGTTTTTTGATCTGTGAAAATCAGAGAAAGTTTTCAGAAAATGAGTCCGCATGTTTTAGATCTTGCTAAGGGTTCTGAAACCTCTAACGATATCACAGATTTCGTAAGATTCAATCTTATATCAAAATCTCTTTTATTTGAAAGATCCACAATTTCTCTCTTCTTTATTTGCTCTGTTTTCAGGTTCATTATAGAATCGAGGAATGCATACAAGACTACATGAGCAAAGAAGAAACTGCGAATTTTATATTCGATAAATTTGGAGTCCCACATAGATTTACCAGATTAAGTAAGTTCTACGCAACTTTTGTTTTTTACCGGATCATCAATGGGTCTGAGATAAAACCTTGAAGAATCGAATCTTTTATGTTGTAGTTTGGTATCTTCTTGAAAAAGCAAATCCAGATTTCTTCAGCTGTTTCAAAACGCATTGTGAGACTATTCGGAATGCACCAAGTAAGCTATAACAGAAACCAAGAAACCTAGAACCCTTTTTTTATTCTTCTCACCCAAGTTTCATTTGTTTGTTGTCTTGGGACAGGTGAAGAAGTAACGTCGCATGCTCAAACAAGACAATCAAATGTTGAGATTGAAACTTGTAAGTCCTGCAAAACGAATAATCAGAATCGATTTTGAGTTCTTGTTGTTTGAATCTCTTGTTATTGTGTTGTGTAGCTTTAGAAGATTTAGCAGAGGCAAGTACAAGCTTTACAAAACCAGATAACAAACCTAGAGCAAAGCGTTCAAAGGCTCGAAAGACGAAAGAGAAACAACAACAACAACAACAACAACGTCTAATTTATCCTATTCGTTGCTGTAAATAAACTTCTCCTTGTTCATTGAGTTTCTCATTGCGTGTTCGGTGTTCCTAAAAGAATCTGTATTTGTTGACATTGTCTTTGCTTCTGTTAGTGACAGAGACTGCTCCAAATGATGCATCATCACAAGTGTCTCAAGAATCTGCTACTACTAATGCTGGTGATGCCCAAAATCCTCTGGAAAAGGTTTCAAGTAAAGCGAGGCGGTCCAAGGCTCGAAAGAAAGTGAAACAAGAAAAGCCGCAACAAGCTCCATGTTCTCCCTGTAATCAAACTTGTCTCTTTTTTCATCTGTTTCTCATCCTGTGTTTGTTTTTGTTTTCCTAACAGCATCTATTGTCTTTGTCTTCTTTTAGCAACAGGAACTGTTCAAAATGTTGAGAGAGCTGAAGCATGTCAAGAATCTATACCTATTTCTGATGCTGAGACCATTTTGAAGCAGATTTCAACTAGAATGCGACTGCTTGAGAGTATTATAGAAAAAGTACACAAAGTACTGAGTAATGTACTTGGACCACCTCGTTCTGCTGCAAAAGCCCTCAAGAAACAGCGATCGTGGAAACAAGTGAGAGGTGATTATGAACAAGCAGAGATGCTTCAGGATCTGAATCAACAAGTCCAACAAGATATGCCGAGAATGGACATCCCGGGAAATCAAGCCAGCGAAGAAGATACACTACATGATTGACAGAGATCAGATTCTTACATTTGCATAGTTAGTTTCTGATTACCAGAAAATATTGCTAAGCTCTCTGAGACTTTGTATTGTTGGTTCAAACCCTGAAGCTATGGAAAACATGAAAAAACAATTATGCTAACAAATCTCAATCCATATTACTGTGAGGTAATCTACAACAAAAACCGAAACAAAAATGTTGTGATGCTTATTCCACTGACAACAAAACCAAAACAGAACTCCAGAAATCGACATAAAAAAAGCTTTCAAAGCATGATCTTAATGAGAAGGAACCATAAGGCCAAGAGACTTGTTGAGCCAAGCCTTCCATCTCCCAGAGGTCTTCCGGATTGTTGTTGTCATCACAGAGTCTTCAATGTTTTGAGTCTCTAACTTCTTAGACAACACAAAGTTCCTTGATCCGGTTGACCCGATTTTCCCCCATGGATCGAATGCTACATAAGAGAGTCAAAAACATTAATCATATAGTAAAACTAATAAGTCACAAATCCATAGAGGAAACTGTAGATACCTTCAGAGGCAGAGTAAGGGCAATAAAGTAGGAAAAAGCTGGAATCTGATCCGAGAAGTGGAAGCCTGCCTTCACGAGCATAGCATTTGAGAGCATAATCTATGACATTGGCTACAGTTTCATCTTCTTTGACAACAAAACGAATCGGACCAGCACTTCCTAAGACAGTGATGCTAACGAGGAACCTGTTCGTAGTATTCGATTTCTGGTTTTTCTTATGCTTGTTGTTGTACAACATCTTTATCAAATTTTCAAAATCAGAAAGGGTAATAAAAAAGAACAGTGATGAGAGTTCAAGGGTCGACGCCGATGCAATGGTAGTACCAGCCTTCTTTGGAAAAGCCAAATTTGTAAGAAGATGCAGCGGAGAGACGGAGGAGGAGAAAGCTCGCCCTTGCGGTGTTGCAATGGGAGAGCATAAATTCTCTGGTGATCGGAGTTGTTTCTACCATTCAAGACGATCTGCACTAGGGTTTGATGGTGGTGGTGGTGATGAGTGAGAGAGAGAGATCAAGGAATGGTGTTATATAAGAAAGAATGAGATTGGAGATATAATATGGAAACTAGGGTTTTGGATGGAGAGGGAGGATGAGAATGGTTGACCCGATTCTTCATCCGCAAGCAAAGGGAAACCCTTTCAAGCACCGAAACCGTCTCTCCACTCTTATTTAATTCCAAGCAATATTAATCTCTGTTTGTTATTCTTAAACGTAAAATCTTTTAAATGGGCCCGTTAATCAAGTACTCACTCAAAAGCCCATTATTGTGATTTTATTATACAAGTTGAAAAGTAGACCCATATTAGATTAGTCTCTTAGCGAGGAAGTTCTCAAGCCCATTGTTACGATATTATATTTTTGAATTAGTGTGAATAAATTTAAGTAAATTATAATGAACAAGTTACCAAAAATAATTTGACAAAATGGTATAATTCGAGCAATTGGGAGAGAGAACGTGTTGAATAGTTGGGGACGAGAAAACAAGCACCAATTCAATTCAATTCAATCGTTATCATCATCAATTCCTTTTTAAATTTCTTCTTTCCTCCTCCTCCTTTACCATCTCAAGCAGAGACCTAGTCAAAAGCTTTCTTCTCCAATCAATCAATGGATCAGAAGCCTCTAGGATTGCTCACGATCCACATCAAACGAGGTATTAATCTCGCCATTCGCGACCATCGTAGCAGCGATCCTTACATCGTTCTCACCGTCGCCGATCAGGTTCCATCTTTTTTTTTCCTTTTGTCTCAGTTTCTCCTGGAAATTTTGAAATCGATAGAGAACAAATCGCCTTATATGAATCAAGTCTCCGAATAAGGACTCTCTGTTATAGAATTGTTCATATGAATCCGTTTGTTTCTTTTCTCTGCTTTGTGTTTTCTTCAAATCCTCTGTTTTTTTTTTCTAACACAAAAACAAAAAATGAAATGTTCAGACATTGAAGACACGTGTGGTGAAAAGAAATTGTAACCCAGTATGGAATGAAGAAATGACTGTTGCTATCAAAGATCCCAATGTCCCAATCCGCTTGGTAACACTCAAAACAAAACAAAAACATTCTCTTTTATTGATTCAGACAAAACACAAATCTTTGTTTTGTTCTGTTCTGTTCTGTTCTTGGGGATAACATTGTTGTTTTTATTGAAATTGTTCAGACAGTGTTTGATTGGGACAAGTTCACAGGAGATGACAAAATGGGAGATGCGAACATAGACATTCAACCATACTTGGAGGCTTTGAAAATGGGAATGGAGCTTTTGAGGCTACCTAATGGATGTGCTATCAAAAGGGTTCAACCATCAAGGCACAATTGTTTATCAGATGAGAGTAGCATTGTTTGGAACAATGGTAAGATTACGCAAGACATGATCCTTAGACTTAACAATGTCGAATGCGGCGAGATTGAGATCATGCTTGAATGGCATGAAGGTGCTGGTTGCAGAGGTGTCACTTCTTCCTCTACCAAAGGTGGCTCTTCCTCTACCTGAACTTATTATTGTTCTTTCTTTCTTTCTTTTGTTGTTGTGTATGATGAATCTGTTGTTGTTTCCATATGTATAAGCAACTCAAGTATGTTTTCTTGATGACCATTTCTATGGCATGATCAAGAAGAAAAAGCTGGAAAATTTGAGACTTTTGTATGTCTTTCATTTGAATATCTTTTTGAGTATTTTTAACTTTCGGTTTTGGTTTCTCTAGTTTTGTGTTTTGCAATTTACATTTTCTTATATGAGATATTATTGATGGGCTACAAATTTAAAGTTTCATTTATCAGTTAGTGGACCATTCTTTTATTTACGGGCCGTTAAGAAGACCAACTATGCATATTTATGGGATGGGATGTCACGCATTCATTGGCCTAGTACTTATTAGTTCGTACTTCGTAGAGTGGTTTTTTTTTTTTTTTTTTGACAGCGTACTTCGTAGAGTGGTTTGCTGTTTGCCTTTGCCAAATCTCATCTTCATGGGCCAATGCAACATATTGAATGCGTATGTAAAAAGGATTAACTAACTATACGAAAATTAATAAAGATAATGCAGCAGCCACCAGCTACGTACCACGAGAGTTTCATTTATTAAATGATCTATGTAGTAGTGGACTATTCTTATATATCGTCGTCATGGTCATCAACTAACAAATTCGTAATCATGTATACTTCACTTAGGGATCGGCTCCTTTCCTTTCCTGGCTCTGCTTCAAGCTCATCTTCTCTTCTAGCATTTTATTTTGGCTGTATCCTTTTCCCTTTCTAGTCTTTCTTGCTTTCAATAAGTTGTATCAACAATGAACAGAAAAAATCAGAAAATTGGTATAAAATTTAACCTTTTACCAAAAAAAAAAAAAAAAAAAAAAATGTATACAGTATACTTAACTATAAAATATGGAATAATGAGCAAGCATGGTCGGTTTTGAAGATGTTCAAAGTGTAGATATACACATGGACATGGTCCTGCAATTTTGCTTCTAAAAAAGTCTTACTATGCCAGAACTCGGAACGTCCACCAGCAGAAGATTGGGTGGATTCTATGAATCCGTGAACGGTGGCTTTGTTTGCCTTTTCACGTTGTGGAAAATCAATCGAATCGACGTTGAATTATTATTCTGAAATAATAATATCATACGAACCTTTTTAACTTCAACTATGTTTTTTTCTCCTTTTAAAATTCAATTATATTACAATTTTACTGATATTTATTTCTTTATATACGACCAATCAATCGATACAGTACTACGCATCACGAATACAGAGAGAGAGCGATTAGAAAAATGATGAATATTACAATTAACCACTATATGAACATACAAAGTCAGCATTAATTACTCTATACGAGATGAACATACAACGACAGCAACAATATTTCTTTCAACAAAAAGGACGGCAATGAATACTGTGTATGAATATATATAACCACTAAACGAACGTACAAAATGATGAATAATACAACCACTAAATATGTACTGTATGCAATGAGAGCCTTGTGGAAGGCTGATACATACGTAGTGCAACACTTAAAAAGGACAGTATTCATTAATTAATCTTGAAAATCATTAATTAACAAGGATACATGTATAGATGAACATACATGAAGCCTCAACATAAAAAAAAAAAAAAACATAAACAACATCAAAGCATAATATAATAGATGAAACCATACATGCAAACCCCCATTTATTGTATTGAAAACACCATAAAACGATACACACACACACACAAAAGGAGCCATGTACGTATGAGGGTGATGATGATCATGATATTAGGTGATAATGGGTTGATGTGAAGGGGATTTAGGCTTTGAGAACGTGATCATCCATGTCAGCAGCGAGGCTCTTGACGAACTTCATGTAGTTGCTAGGCTCAGGCATGTCAACGTTTTGCTTCTCCCAGATCATAGTGATCTTACAGATGATATCATCAGGCGACTTTTGAATGAACTGAAAGATGACGTCATACACTTTAAGCTGCTCCATCACGTGACCTTCTAGTCCTCTGAATGTTACCGCCATATTCTCGTCGTCTATCTCTCTCCTCTCCTTAAACACCTCCGGTTTCCCATCTTCATATATAAGTTAGCACCATGCATATATATGTTTGGATCTATATACATGTAACACTCAACTAAATTTTAAGGTAAAGAGATTCGTTCACATATATGTTTCTGATGAATGTTTTAAATGGCAAGATTCACGTGTGGTTGTTACTGTTCCTTAAAAAAAATCCGCCAATATACTTTTGAATAAGCCTTCTGATGAATAAAATTGTCGGGTTCAAGTGAATCAAATTTAGAGAGAGATGAGTTTACATATATGGTCAAACGTTTGATAAATAGATTCTCTGTATACTTGTAAGTTTGTAACAAATAAAGTAAGTGTATTTTTACCGCATGTGTAGTTCCAAATCTTGATGGCTCCATGGGAGTCCCATTCGCCGTCGTGGATGGTGACACCTTGGATGTGGTGGCCGATGGCATCGGGGAAGAGGTGGTTCTCACTCCTCCACCGCTTGTAGTGTTTCTCCGCCGATCCTTTCAAAGGAACCTCCGTCACATATGTTCCTGACGTCGCCATCTCTCTCTCTCTCTCTCTCTTTTCTCTCTTCCTTGGTAGCGAGTGAAGTGTGTTTGTTTGTTTCTTTGCTTGATGAATACTTTCATTTCTGCTCTCCTTCGTTTATATAGAGAATTAATGTAACGGTTAAAACGTAAAAATATGTCTTTCTTTTTTTTTTCCGTTTGACTAAAATTATTTTTTTACCACGATTCTGTCATCTTGCATTATTACAAATATGATTTAAAAAACGATGGCCATACATATTATTCATAAGTAAGTCTAAATTTACTGTGCCTAAAAAAGTTAAAAATTTACGGTTAATTATTTGAATTGTGTAGTGATTCACGTTTACCAAGTTCGTATCACCAAAAAATAAAAGAATTTGGATTATTGTTGATATGATTTATTTCTTGAACTCGATCGAAACATAAACTATATATCAACTACACTTTCACTGAAACGTCGCACAAAAAAATATATATATTACATGCCTAGGAAATCATAATCAAGCCATAGATAATAAATCATATTTTTGTGAAGCCGGTAACAATCACTGTCGCCTTTCTACAAAAGATAAAATAGGTGAACCGATAGAAAACCTGACTGAAAACGACCGTTTTAGAAAGTAATTTTTGTAAAGCATCTTTCTAAAAGTGTTTTGAAACGATTATTTATAGGATTGGTCAATGATTATTAGGTTAAAGTAGTGTTAATACTATCAATCGATCCCATCCGAATTGAACGGATCATAACAATAGATTTTAAGCCGGCCACATCTTTTTAATATGGTTAGATTCAAAATAAATAACCATAGATTCAGGTTTGGTACGTAATGTGGTGTTGAAACGGAGCCGTTTTGTTCATTTTTCAGGATGATGGATTAAATCTTATACATGGTCGAGAGAATCTACATTATGAGAGGGAGGGTGAAAATGATACCCCTAAAATGTATATATAGATATAAAAAAATTTCATTGAATAAAATAGTTTTTGTTTGTGGCAGATTTGGTTGTGTATGACCCGTTCAAGTTTAAGGTTTGCATTTTGATGTCTCCATTTCATTATGTTTGACTTTGATAAGAAATTTTCTTGGTCCGGCCGCCACTAATTCTTTTAAGCATTGAGAATGTGTCCACTCGAGCAAACGAATTGCTTGACTTAGGAATTGGTTGGGGAAGTTGTGACTAATGATGATTGGACTTTAATTGGGAATTAGCAAAATTTACAATTATATCCTTAAAAACACATATAATTACAATAAGCAGTTGTTAATGAAAGAGTCGCAGGGAGAGTCGCACGACTCTTAAAAAGAATACGGCCAATATCTTTAGGTTTAGTCGAACTTATATAAGCGTTTAATCTTTGATCAATCTAGAAGTGTGGGTGAATGTTTATTTTTAATTTATTTTTGAATGAAATGTGTGGATGAATATTTTACTCTTTTTGTAAATTTTTATTGCGAGGCCGTTGAGTTTTTTCTACAAACAATCTTTTGATTTTACTGGATTCCGGAAATCGATAATGGTGAGACGTAGTAAAGGTTCACTATTTCAACAACTTTATATTCGTACTATAACTTGTTCTTAGTTTTCTCAAATGTGTATTTTCGTGGTTTCGGTTCGAATTTCAGTCATAATTGAATCGGCGTTTAAACCAATTATACGGAGACAATATTAGAATAAATGGCAAATGGCAAATAATTCAAGATTCGGCGATAACTCAAATCAAATAAGAGACGAAGATTATTGGTCGAACGTTTTCCATGCTTCTGCTGTCCCCATCGACCGAAAATCAATAAAAGTATGTTCTGAGAAGAAAAATACTACTCCATCAGACAATGAATTTAATACTATGTTGATGGGTTAAACGTCAGTGTCTAGAACAATCAATAACGTAGTAATGAAATATGTTGACCAAAAAATACTAAAATATCTTTACGTTCTACTATATGTGATTTATGCATGTAAACACACAAATACAGATATACTTACTTTATGTATGTATAAGTCATATAGTTGATTACCATTCACTCAATTTACTTACTAAGGTACGAATCTGTGACCAAATTACACACAACTGAAGATTATTTAGAATTTTGCAAAAGTGACAGTATAACCACAAAACATAAGAAAAAAAAATGGTACAAGAAAAAGGATTTTAAAATCAATTTTTGACACTGTGGATTCTTAGGTCTCTCGGCCCATACATATTGAAATATATCTAATTTTGGGCTTACTTAAGTAGGCCTCTTGTCGTAGGAATTGGGCTTTATAAAAATCAGAGACCATTGAAAGTACGACGATCACGGAAAAAAGAACAAGAAGGAAGGAAGAGATGCTTGCGAAACAAACGCCATTAACAAAACAAATGCTCTCCGAGCTCTTACGAGCAAGTTCTTCAAAGCCGAAGCAGCTTAAGAAGATCCACGCGGTTGTAATAAGGACAGGTTTCTCTGAAAAGAACAGTCTTTTAACTCAGTTGTTAGAGAATCTTGTACTTGTAGGTGACATGTGTTACGCACGCCAGCTGTTCGACGAAATGCACAAGCCGAGGATCTTCCTTTGGAACACTCTTTTCAAAGGGTACGTTAGAAACCAGCTCCCTTTTGAAAGTGTCCTACTTTATAAGAAAATGCGTGATCTTGGTGTCCGTCCTGATGAATTTACTTACCCGTTTGTGGTTAAGGCGATCTCTCAGCTTGGGGTTTTGTCTTGTGGGTTTGCCCTTCATGCCCATGTGGTGAAAAATGGTTTTGAGTGTCTTGGGATTGTTGCAACTGAGTTGGTGATGATGTACATGAAGTTTGGTGAACTGAGTTCGGCTGAGTTCTTGTTTGATTCAATGCAAGTCAAGGATTTAGTGGCTTGGAATGCGTTTATTGCGGTTTGTGTTCAAACGGGGAACTCCGCTATAGCCCTTGAGTATTTCAACAAGATGTGTGCGGATGCAGTTCAGTTTGATTCTTTTACTGTCGTGAGTATGCTTTCTGCTTGTGGTCAGCTGGGCTCTTTAGAGATTGGAGAAGAAATTTATGATCGCGCGAGGAAAGAAGAGATTGATTGTAACATAATAGTCGAAAATGCAAGGCTTGATATGCACTTGAAGTGTGGTAGCACCGAAGCTGCGAGGGTATTATTCGACGAAATGAAACAAAGGAATGTGGTTTCATGGAGCACTATGATTGTAGGATATGCAATGAATGGAGATAGCAGAGAAGCATTGGCATTGTTCACTATGATGCAGAACGAGGGACTAAGACCGAACTACGTGACATTTCTCGGGGTGTTATCTGCTTGTAGCCATGCTGGACTAGTGAATGAAGGAAAAAGGTATTTCAGTCTCATGGTTCGATCGAATGATAAGAATATTGAGCCGAGAAAAGAGCATTATGCATGTATGGTTGATCTACTGGGACGCTCTGGTCTTCTAAAGGAGGCTTATGATTTTATCAAAAAGATGCCAGTGGAACCAGATACCGGTATCTGGGGAGCTTTGTTGGGTGCTTGTGCGGTTCATCGTGATATGATATTGGGGCAGAAAGTGGCAGACGTTCTTGTAGATACAGCTCCTGATATTGGTTCATACCACGTACTACTGTCTAATATCTATGCAGCTGCTGGTAAATGGGATTGTGTTGACAAAGTAAGGAGTAAAATGAGGAAGCTGGGCACTAAAAAGGTTGCTGCTTATAGTTCCGTAGAATTTGACGGCAAAATCCATTTTTTCAATAGAGGAGACATATCACATCCGCAATCAAAGGCGATATATGAGAAATTGGATGAAATCTTGAAGAAGATAAGAAACATGGGGTATGTTCCCGATACGGGTGCAGTATTTCATGATGTGGAAATTGAGGAAAAAGAATCTTCTCTTAGTCATCACAGTGAGAAGCTCGCTATTGCATTTGGACTCATTAATGGGAGAGCAGGAAATCCTATACGGGTTATGAAGAACTTGAGAACCTGTGATGATTGCCACGTTTTCTCCAAGTTTGTTTCCAGGCTTACATCAAGAGAGATCATCATGAGAGACAAGAACAGGTTTCACCACTTTAGGAATGGTATCTGCTCTTGTAAAGAGTTCTGGTGACTTCACTTATTGATGTTCTGATTATCAAGAGAAAATCTGATGAGAAATGCATCCACAGATTTTTAAAGTATCTGAAGCTTTGAATAGTAACAAAAGACCAGTTGATGCAAAACCAAGCTCCTGATCCACTAAACTTGCATATGGCAACAAATCGTGAAGCTTTTGGTTTAATCTTCTGCACAAGTCAGAAGCCTGCAAGAGAGAGAGAGACTCTACTGAATAAGGTAGCTAAGTCAATTTGTACACTATACTCATTAATGCTTATTTGATCTTTAATTGCTCATTAATTATCTAGATCTAATTAAGCCTGACCTCACGTTTTTGCCAGTTAATGAGTTTTGTATCTTTCTTAGTATATTCCATTGATTTTACAGGTCTTGTATTGTATCTATTGTGATGTAAAAATAGCTGAAATTGAACTACTTTTTTGCAGGAGATAAAGAATGGTCAAAATTTGTGAATATGAATTCAATGTTTATGTCAGTCATTAGATGCTATTGACACTGATCAAAAACAGAGTTTGCCTCTGTTAATGGTTTTCTCTGAGAGTTGAAAAGCAGAGACATGGAAGAAGCAAGAAATAGAAAAAGTTCTCGTGAAAGACAGAGAGAGATGGAGACAAAACAGAGAACAGAGGTTATCTCACTTGTCGTCAAGACATTCCAAGCAAAAAGACTCTGCAACAACGGTATCTTTTTTTGGGGGTCAATTTAGCAAAACTAAGGTAATCAATCCTTCATTAAAAGCTACTTCCTTTAATTAGTAAAAACACTTTGTACATTATTAACATCAATTTTGATTTTTTACAGTCAATACCCTTCTCTCTCCTCCTCTCAGAAAACATAAATTCGTTTTTTTTTTTTCCCGGGGACAACGGCTATTAATACTGAACTGTCCACTGCACCATCTCCAAGCAACAACATGGCTGAATTTGAAAAATATTTTGCAATTTTCATTAATAAAATTAAAAAAATTTGAGCAGAGAGAACAATCAAAGCATTGGAGGAGGTTAGATAAAAAAATAAGTTTCACAGTACAGATATGAGAAGGTTCTCCCAGGAATCAAGGGTCAAGATCATTTGATAAGACCCATAAGATAAGGAAACAAAATTTAAAATAAAGAAACCACAAATCTAATTTCCATTGAATAATAAAAATCTTCTTCATCTCCTCCTCTTTCTACTTCTTCTTCTTCTTCTTTCTCATTATCCAAAGAGACCCAGACAAAGTTTTTTGTTACTTAGACTTCACTCAAACAAATAAAAGAGTTTTATCTTTTGGGTTTATCTTCTTACCACTTTTTATCAAAAGACTATTATTAAAGTTTTACTCAAAGCCCATTTTTTCTCATCAGTTTCTTGAATCCAAAATCTGCTCTGCACTTCACAGACACCGACAAAAAGGAAATCAATTTCTGTCACAAGAAAACAGAGAGAGATACAAAACTCAAATACTCTGTTTTCACTACCTCATGGGCTTCTCATAAAAAGCTTCTCTTTTCACTCAAATCAAACCGCCATGGAAGGTTGTGTAGGAAACGAGCAAGACATAAGGAGAAGAACAAGAAGAAGAAAAAGACGACCACTACCTACCACCGCCGTGTTCTTCTGTGGAATCTTGATCTTTGCTCAGTTTGGTTTTTCTTCATCAGCTCTTTTTGCTCCTGATCACTACCATCCTTCACTACCGAGAAAGGCTGGTCCTTTCCATGAATTGGCGTCGTTTCAAGCTCCCAAAGCCTCAATGTCATTCACGGGTCAACGTCGAGAAGAAGAAAACAGAGTTGACGTTTATAAAGACGACAAGAGATTAGTTCACACAGGTCCAAATCCTCTTCACAACTGAAACACTAGTTAGCAACACGTGTCTGGTCTCTCTCCAAGAAACTGCCTTGAGATTCTTCAATCTCTGCTTTGAATCAATCTCTGCTTTGAATCAATCTCTATAGCTACTTTAGTATAATTTTATGTTTTAGTCATAATGAGATGTGGATCATTATCCTTAGCCTTGTATAATTTCTGTGAGGCTAAGAGTCAATGATCTTGTTTCTCAGTTGTTGTAACTCTTTTGCTTCAATGGCTACCATCGAGATCCATGAATTATTGATAATAGTTTTGTATTTATTTAATTAAATCAGTATGTTTTCGGAATTTGTAATTTTTTTATAATATTGTAAAAGAAAGGAAAAAATGGTTGAAGATTCGAATGCATGGATTTCTTCGAAGATCATGTTCTATGCAGAAAAAGAAGGTTGTCTTTTTGTGTGTTAACTGATTAATTATTGTTATTAAACCATATACTATAAAGTATTTTAAAATCAGTGTTGAATGGGTCCAACATCGTATAATAAAATCGATGTATTGTTAAATATATGAGCATGGAAGCTGTTGACTGTTCCTTCGCTCATGAAAAAGGGAGAACCAAAAACTTGAAATTTGGTGAAATTCATGCATAATGACTATTTTTAATTGTAATGAGCCCATTGTTGTGGATTTTCCCTACATATTAAAAGTGAGAATATGGTAGGCTCTAGTTGAAAAATACATATTATTAGGTCGTGCATTAAGCATCCAATCTTTCTTTTAAAAACGGACATGGATGTAAATTCAGCCTAATCATATACATACTGAGTAGCAGAGTAGGTATCCTAAGTTCCTAACAATATATAAAAATCGATGAAAATTTGCATGTTTTCTTTTGGATCCAAATCTAATTAGCTCAAACCGATTTAGATACGAACTTTCTAACTCGATAACTACAAAAATGTGGTGGTCTAGTGACTACTGACTATTGGTTCTTAAAAGTATTCAAGGTCACTACTTACACCTTGAAAGTATTGAAGAACTTCAACTAAATTCTTTTTTGTTAAAGACTTCAACTATATCTACACCTTAAACATAGTAGTATTATTAACGGTTTCTTCGGGACATCGAAAAAGATTATAAATCAAAGATTCAGAACTTCCAAGATATATATCATAAAAAATATCTACAAATGCGGTTTTATATGTGTAAAACTAAATCTAGCATACTCATTATTAGTAAATCGAAGTATTTTCTTTTTGTCAAGAATTTTCCAATCAATTTTCTTTTTACTCATTTTGTATCAGTTTGATGTATCGGAATTACATTTTCGGATTGACTGCATCTATTATCGAAAACTAGTTCATATCGTAGATAAGTTTCATTAACACAATACTAAAAAAAAAGACTTACTAATAAAAACTTATGCGAAAATCGACTAAATGATTATTATGACGTGTGATAAAGATATTATTTATTAGAGTAGGCCATTTAGCTTTAATAATATTTGTTTCATTTGAATGTGTTTGAACTTAATGCATACGGTTCTCTCGATGGGGATGCCGGTCCCCAATGATCTCTCCTCTATTCTTTTTCTCTCTTTTTTAAGTATATTATTTACATACGTACAAACATAATTAATGCTCATATATGAATGAATACTAGTTTTACTACTATTCACTCACGGATTAATTTTCTATTTTGTTAAGGTATGAGACTTCAATACAGAAATTTTCCAACACAACGAAATTAAATCACGAATGGTTGTTGATGCAACAAGAATTAATATTTGACCAAATATATGAAAACGTTGATCTTCGTCCCTGTTTTTTCTTAGACAAAATAATATGTGTATAAATTGTATACATTGATTATAAACTAGAAACACAACAAAATGTATATATAATTAAATAAAAATAAAAATGTAATTTTGTTCCTTGGAGATTATTACTCATTTTGTATAAAATAATTTAGTTTTGGGTCCATTTTGGTTAAAGAGGAATATCCTGAGAGAGAGGTTGTTGAATGTGGAATGAATGTTTTGCACAGTGTGGTGAGCCATAAATGGAGAGATTTAAGGAGCTTTACTCATTATTCAACTACTCCCATTCCCATCTCCACTTTGTTTTTTAAATAAATTTCCTTCTAACAAATTTATATAAATTTCTTCAAGAATTCAATTTTTACTGACGTTATTTTCCTATATTGATATATATTTTTTTTCCCACTTTTCGGAACATATAATATGGGCTGCAAAACGAGTCACTCGGTCCATTTGATTTAAATAGTCCAATTTAAAGCCCATTTAATATGAGAAAGGAAAAAACTCGACCCACGCGCGTCTATTGGGCTCAGTTATGGATTTTGGTAAAAAGTGGCCTAAATCCGTTGACTATAGGGTGCCGATTATGACGTAACGCGCCTCACGCGCGATGACTGCACGTGGGATTTCCTGAACCGCCCCCAGGTGTGACTTGTGGATTGCAAAACTTCTACAATCTACACATATTGTAGTATAGTTCAAAAGTAATTCGTTAAACCCATTTTTTTTTTATCTTATTATTAACTTATGAAATTTTGGTCTAATTACTTAGAAAAAGTTTCCCCAACATATTTAAATCATGTTTACTCATTTCCTTTTGCTTTTGCTGATTATACACATAATAAAAGTCATTTCTACTGTCAAGTTAAAATTCATTACATGCAAGATGAAGAGTGTATAATCATTTTTCTCTCTCTCTATAAATGTCACATGTGCATAAAGATTTTGGTTTATCTATAAAACAAGACAAAAGGCAAAGTATGGTAGACCCAAAAATCAATCTTTTGGTAGCCTTTTCATCTCTCTTGCATCACAAGTAAACCTCTCACCATTCATTTCCACACAGCACTGAAACTCGAGCATTTTCTCTCTCAAATCCCATTTCCCTAGCTAAAAGGTTCAAAATTCCACAACAACAACAACAAAAGACCTATTTTGTTGAATCTTTTCTCTTTGATATATCTTCTCTAAATTAAAGTGATTAGGGCAAACTTCTACATAGCATGGGCTACATCTCCAGCAACAACCTCATCAACTATTTGCCCCTCTCTACTACTCAACCTCCTCTTCTTCTCCCACACTGTACTAAAATCCTTACTTCTTTATTTATAATTAATATCAATGTGTTTATTTGTTCGTTAATACTCTTATTTTTTCAGGTGATATTAACGGCAATGATCACTATCAGCTCATCAGTGCATCATCAGGAGAACTCGATGATTATCGGAAAAATAACATTCCTGCGACGGCGACTTCGAGATGGAATCCGACACCCGAGCAGATCACGACGCTGGAAGAGCTTTACAGGAGCGGAACACGGACACCTACGACGGAACATATCCAACAGATAGCAGCTAAGCTTCGTAAATATGGGAGAATCGAAGGGAAGAACGTTTTCTATTGGTTTCAGAATCATAAGGCTAGAGAGAGACTGAAACGACGCCGCCGTGAAGGAGGTGCGCTTAACAAGCCACATAAAGACGTCAAGGATTCATCATCAGGTGATTGATTAATATTTAGAGCACTGAATATCAATCAACAAACAACATAATTCTACTTTTTAAGTATATATTTTTTGTTTTATGGTTAAAGTGATATAAAGTTTTGGTTTGTATTAATTGATGAATTTTAATGGAACGTTGTTACTTAAATATGGCTATGCATGCTAATTTTGGAGATATATGTAAGATGACGTGGCAATTACAGGTGGTTGTTATCGAGTTGATCAGACAAAGAGCTGCCCATCTTTTCCACACACAAACCCACAGCCACAGGTATTTTCTTGAACAAAGATACTCACAAAACACTTGTTATATGCATAAATATGTGACCAAACAAATACATAAATGTATATAATTAAATGTAAATAACTAAATATGTGTGGAAGACAAGTAAATGATACAGAATAGGTTATAGAGAAGCTTTTTCTATCATATGTTGGGACTTGGGAACAATAAGCAAATTAAAAAGATGTTCTCAAAAGGCTGCTAACTTTTTTTTATCTATCTCAGTTTTAATCTTTTGGTATTTATTATCATTTCAATTTAGGATAGTTACTTAATTGGCATCTCCCGAAAATAATTTATTACTATTTTGTAGTTGCTAGCTCCTAAAAATAATTTTATTATTTTGTATTTTCTGGTTAGCATGAATTAGATCCTGCGAGTTACAATAAAGACAACAATGCTAATAATGAAGATCATGGGACGGCTGAAGAATCTGAGAGGGCATCAGAGGATGGTAAAGACGCCACGTGGAGAAATCTTGTTACTTGGTCGATAACTCAAGAACCTGCAGGAGAGATTAATATTGACCAAAATGTCAACGGAGAAGGACAAGAAGAAACGAGGGAGATTCGAACTTTAGATCTCTTTCCGGTTAAAGAGAACCAAGAGAAAACAGGCCGGTTTACAGAGAAGACGAAAGCAAATCAAATGTGTTGCAATTACTGTTACTACTACGAGTTCATGCCTCTGAAGAACTGAAACAAAAACTCATGTGTGAGTAATAAATAGGACAAAGGGATTTAATGAAGGTTCTACTTGTTGTTTTGTCCACAAATGGTAAGTGATGTGTTCTTATTTCTTAGATAGAAGAGAAGAGTTTGAAGATGGAGACGTGTAGTAAATGTTAGGAGCGTTTGAATTTTTAAGGTTCTTTTTTTACGACTTTAGGGTTTTGATTTTGAATATTATTATGGTTATTAGTTATTACCCAAATGTGAAGGTGGACCATGTTGGGGCTTGGGTTTGGAGCTGCAACCATCTTAATACATATGTCTGAAAGTGAAACTGAAAGCTTCGATGGTTCCTTGTCAATGTAAGGAATATATATTAATTAGATGTTTGTTAGTAATTGATGTTTTTCTACTTCTTCACATGCTTTCTTCTTTCTTTTCTTCTTCCACTGCAATTTACATGCGACTCTCTGAGAGAGACATTCGATGCTGACATTGCACTGTGTTAAGAAGTACTTTAGATTTTTCAGAGAATTTAGCAAATGTGAGGTTTATTATCAAAAAAGTGCGTACCGTTGGGAAAACTAAACTTACATTTGAGTTTTGATGGAATGAAGACAAAACATCTTTAATGTTTGCCCATTTCTCATTTATTTTGTGAAATTTAATGGAAACAAAGGATTTTACTCATAGATATGTGTTTAAAAATCGAGCAAGAGATTTTCAAATGGTCTTAATCACAGAGAGGTATTAATTAATAATGTGCAGAATCCTGAAATAATAATCTAACAGAAACAGAACATTGACCCATCTTTTGTACTTTTAAGATCATGAATGTATAATGGTATGAAAAAAATGCTTTTTGAGACAGGATCAAGAACACTTCCTAAAGACAACTACACAAAGCATTTATCACTTCGACCATAACTCTTTAATGGACTCTATTGTTTCTGCACCTAAAAGATCTGTCCCACGTTTCTTTTGCCCTGGTACAATTACAATAGGACAGAGATAGTTTTGTCTCATTCCTCCAATCACAATAACATTTCAAACAGCTTAACAATTAAAAAACCAGTATCCAATGGTCACTCTTTCCTCTACCTTTTAACTGTTAAGGGTCCTAACTTCTTTTTATGACTTTCTTTAGTGTCAAATTACTGTGAATTCAAAGAAACATCAAGTAATCACTGTCACACTTTATTGACCACTGAGTTTGGTTATCTAAAGACAACTACAGAGACCAAGCATAAACAAATTGTATTCAACAAGTAAATGACACAAGAAGGCCCTTTTAGCCATGTTCTTATTACTGTTCAAAGTTCTCACAAAGATAGAGGGTAGATCATCATAAAAGAAATTTGATAAACAGTAACTCACAGTGTTTTCCCACGACTGGCTTGAATCAAGGAAGAACATAGAGAGGCTCCGGCATTTTTTCTCTTTGTATCCTAGCATATATTTGAAATGTAAACATTCCATGTTAAAAGAACGAAGAACAAACTGAAAAGACTTGGAATGAAATGAGGAAAACTTAAATAAAAGACTTACCAGTTATCTTTTGCCCATTTACATCCATCAGATTCTACTACATGTAAGCTATAGGCATGTCTTGACTTCGAGGATAGATTCTCGAAACTGCATCACAAAATCCACATTGAAGAGAACATGATTTTCAGAGCTCAGCCAAATCTAAACTATAAGCAAGCTACTTCATATGGGAGATGAAATTTACCTTTGATGGATTAGATCACCATGAATGGCAATCAATGAGCCTGCTTTCATTTCAATAGACACAAAATCTTTCTGCTCGTAAGATGGGGATGGCTGATCAAAGGTTATACCGTTTTCCCCCCGGATAAACCTTCTAACTAAACCATCTGAAATCAAGCAGTGGAAAAAACAAAAGACTGTCCAGCTAAGTGAAACTATGTAAATAACAAAGAACACGAGAAATAGAGGTAAAAAAACTCACTCTTATGAGATCCAGGAATTGCCCAAAGACAACCATTAACTGTGGTAGAATCTTCCAGAGCAATCCAGAGACCAGTACAACTCTGTGGATCCGTGTACACAAAAGAATTATCTTGGTGCGGCACAACTTCGCCTCCAATTCCAGGTTGCTAGTAAAATCAACAGGCCAAATTACAAAGTTGCATAGTGAAAGGTTCCCACAAAGTAAGCAAAAGAAGCTGAGATCGGAATGATACAAACTTTAAATAGTTTAACCGTAACTACAAATGCTAATTTTGAAGTTGTTAGTATAAATATAAGTGGTGATCTGCCTTCTGAACTGTTGAACATTTGCATATTCTATGACAATCTCAGTTCCTAATTTTTAACAGCAATCAACATATAGTGTGAACACACTGATTTTCAGCAGTTGGAGATTTTCGTTGATCAAAGTTTTAAAATATAAAAAGAAAAAACAATCAAAAGTCTATAAATAAATAAAAGTACCTTGAAAATGTACATAGACTGCATGACTACTGGTCTCTTGTAACCTAAGGATGACACCAAACTTGAAAACTTGGACGAATATGTGAATTCCTTATACAATGGGTCAAGCTCATGCAGTGCTGCACCAACAAACAATGTTAACATTCGTGAGCCAAATTTTCTCTACCCAATACGAAAAGTATGTAGTAAGCGAGCCAAAAAATGGAAGAGATAAGACGTAGAAAATACCATGCCCAACTTTGTTTATAGAGAGTTCTTTCGGTTGCTTCAATTTCCCATCATCACCAAAAGCTTTTTCTGAGATTCAAACACATGAATCTTTTAGCTTATAGCTGGATTACAACAAAAGCACCAGAGGATATCCACTAGACCATGAATCAACAATATAGATGTTGTAGAAAATTGCATCCTAACTAAGTTCATTACAAAGGATGGCTGAAGTTTCCCACACATATCCGCATCAAAAGAAGTGCCATAACATTGCATTAAGACTCATATTCATATTCCATTGTATTAAACAAGAGATGAGACTCTAGTGGTATTTTCAGAAGCTGTAAATTCGCAATGAAATAGTTATCAACATTCAATACTTGTAGAAATAGTTTCATTCACTAACAGAGCACTTGCACACACACATCAACACAAAAGCGGCAAGAACATCATAGGAACACTCATTTGGAAAAACCCAAGTGATAGTTTCGAATATGATAACACAAACAAGTATCTGGGGAAATAAAAAAAGCTATGTAATTGAGGAAAAGTAGGATTATTACCTTCAAAGAAGAAGGAGATTTTCTCAGCGCTCTCAAAGAAGTAATTATCGGTGGTGTGCTTCTACAATAATCAAATAACCATTCTAATCAAAAATTTAAACAGAGAAAAACAATATGATGATGATGATTGGAATCAAAAGAACTTCGGTATAGAAAATAAAAACCTGATTCTTAGTAGAGAAGATAGAGGACGAGACGGAACAATCAAACTGATTAAGCAACTCGTCCATCCTCTTCCTTAAGCCTCTAATCTCATCCTCATTCGCGAACGATTCGATTACCAAATACCCTAATATCCATTTGACTTACAAAATCATTCATAACTTCTTCATTCATCGAGTTAGGAGGAACGAAATTTCCATTTAAACAAACCTTGAGAGTGAAAAAACTGGAGCTGATCTGGAGTTAGACTTCCGGTGATTCCCATAACGCGGTGGTTCCGGTAGAGATTTCGCCGGGAAATTGATATACTTCAAATCCTTTTGTGGGAAACAAATTTATCTGTTGAGTCTATAGTGAGAACCCAAACAAGGACTCCAATTATTTATGAGAGACCCTTTTCCCACGCGCACACTTTTCGTGTGTTGTGTTGGCGAAAGAAGCCAGTTCCACGTGGAGGATATTCCCTCACGCGCCTGAGTAGCGCGTAGAAATAGATTAGGAAGATGAATTTTTTCTTTTGTGTTTGTTGGATTAGAGAACAAGCAAACAAACCCATTGTGTATCATAAAAACATATGAAAAAGTGAACACGACTGGAAGAAGCAAAAAAATGAATCAAATTACTTTCTGAAAGAAACACAAAGATTCACCTGGAAAGAATCATAAGAATATGATGATGAAACAATTAAAAACCCCTATTTCAAAGAATTTAAATGAACAAAAAAGAAAAGAAAAGAAGACAATGATCTCTAACCAAATCAAATGTACAAAACTTTTCGGGCAGCTTCCTATATCCCTTGTCCGTCTCTCTACATATCTCCTAACACAAAGACTCTTGACGTCTGCGTTTACAAAATGTACAAAACGCAAACGCTCCAAAACACCCCAAGCATAAAAACACCAAAATCCAAACGCTGTCCTATTCTGTTAAAACTTCAATGTTGTCTCTCCTGTTAGATACATCAGCTTCAATGTGTCAAAAGTATCAAACAATGTTGTGGCTGTTACTCCTCGGCTAACCTCCCTGGAGATAAATAGACGATTCTGCGGCCCCTTCAAACGCGCTCTCCCTAAAATTCTGGGCAGGCCGAGTTACTAAGTCCTGTCTGGTTTGAAAGAATTAGAATTACAAGGAATGAACATAGCCTGTAGAACCGGATTCTGGAAGGCCGGTAATCAAATGTGTGTGTTTCAGGTGGCAGGAGGTGGTCTGGAATCTGGGGTTGTTGTTTTGTTCTTACGGGACATGCAGTCAGGGCAAGGGAATGTGTAAATGGAGTCATTAGGTCGTTTTAGCTCAAACCCCTTTGAGTCACTATGAGACCTCATGTTTAGCATCTGACGTTTAAAACTCCGCCATCTGCAGGAAAAAACAGAAAATAGCGTTTAAGCAATAAGTGATAACACGGCAACAGGGTTTTAGGCACTGGTATGGTGAAAAAAGGGGAACAATCCAAATGTTATTCATGTGGGCGCTTAAAATGTGGAGATTTGGTAGGGTTTATTGAAGATGAAGAGCAGAAGAAGTGAGTACCCGATGTTGGGATTGTCAAAGAGGATTGCTAACTTTCGCTTGTCCGGTCTAATGGTCTTGGAATGTCCTCCAAACAAATATCTCCGATGACCCATGAGGAAATGAGGAAAGTTTCCACCTTGCGTGGTCACAAATACCTCACTGTGGAGACAGACCGTGTAATCTATTGCAGCCATTCTGGAAGAGAAGTTCTGAACACAGAGTTTCAAGTCAGATATATCATTCATCACGAGAAATATACTCCGGAACAAACACCAGGAAAGAAGCAGACCTTATATGGAGCAAGTTCCTCCTCTGATGCAAGCATCTCCTTAGTTTGTAAATTTGGGAACATCTCTAGTAGCGGGGCCATAGTTCGATTCGCATCATATATTTCACCAGACGCAAGGTAAATATATGTGCTTTTGTTGAACCCCATTCCTCTAAGCATTAAACCCACCTGAATAGTTTACAAGAAAAGTATAAACCATTCAGAACAAGTCACACTATTGCTGCACAATGGTTTGTGGAACTATTCTGATGGATGATTAACTAATGAAAATATCCGAGAATGATAATATAGTGTGGATAGTAGGAGCTTAGAGGAATCAAACGAAGAGATAAGTACCTCTAAAGGAGTCAAAGGGCATTTTCCGTTTTGCCTGATAGCACCAGGTCGTATAACACGACCTGGTTTTGTGAACTTTCCTTTCCATCCGCGTTCTCTTGCTGCAATCATATCTTGTTTTTCTTGGTTCCCACCATCAAAAATGCAACAAGAGAAAGCTACCATGTCCTGCAACATGTAGATATAGCTTATTACATCTTTCATCTCAGACACAAAGCTCTCCATTCAAAAATTTACAACCATGATAAAGACCAGTGGGGATTCTATAGATGTCTCTCCTTTACATGGAACAAACCTCTTCAAAACGCAGATGTACAGAAACGTATTTTGCGCCGTGGTTTGCACTTTGCTCTTTCATTCTCTTCACCAGTGTTTCTCCTAGGGTTAGTATGGGTTTCGAAAACTTCAGGGCTTCATAATTCGCCAAACATCTAAGTCTCTGGACAGCTTGTGGAGCATCAAAAGAAAGTCTATTTGCAAATGGAGATATTCGTATAATCCTGTGCCATGCATAGAGAACAGTTCTTCAATGACAAGCGCTAAACAGAACCAAAACATATCTTCCGCTAAAAAAAGATGGTTTGCTATATCCTGTCACTATATTTTTAACTCTACTAACAATGCGTAACCAATTGTACCACATGAACAATCTTCTAAAGAAGAATTTGTAACTTACTTCTCCTCAAGCAGCTTCGGCAAAATCGAGTCTCGATAATATTGAATAGGTGACCATGCTTTAACTCTGAAGTTATAGACATTTGTCATGTTGTAGTCAAAACGCTCCATTAGATATTCAGGAATTGTATCAACCACCCGCACATCATTTGCTAAGGTACTGACAAAGAACTCTTCATCGTAGATGTCCCCAAATTTACTGAAAGAAAACCCTCTGTCAGAAAGCAATCTACAAATGATGGCTTTGATTTGAACAAGCAACGGGAAGACAAGATTTTCAGAAGAAAGCAATCTAAAACCTTGGATCTCTCCATATGCTGTGATAGTGAAAGTTGGGAATTACTAGAGTTGCATTAAGATAGCCTGCCACAGCAACCGCATTGCATATCTAAGCATAACATTGGTAGAGATAAGTCAACAGCTTTGACATAAACAAGATTGCTAGAATGATTGAGCGATGTGCATAAATTTCAAGTATCATGAAAAGATAAACAAACCCACCGATGTCCGCTGCTGATTCAAGCCTCCGTTTGCCTCGACATATATGAAACCGTTTGACTCGGGCAAGTCTACAAGTATAAACAAAAAAGCAGACACCCAACTAATCAATTCCGCTCCAAAGAACAGGCTAAATCTGAGCTCCAGGCAAAACTTTGCAGAATGTACAGAACACTTTACTCTTGCATATTAAATTCCGTACTCCATTTTAATAAGGTTGGAACGTTTTGACAAGATATGCTTCATAAACGCTGAAGCTTAGAATTATTACAAAAACAATGTAATACCTCCAGTAGACTTGTTCACGTACGGCTTCCATTCACCACCTTTATAGGAATGTTTCCAAATGGTTGTTATCTGCGATGAATACAATTCTATTGATGTACATGAAAAAGAATAACAAAGCAATCTATACTGAAGATTCTTAACGCATCACTCAAACAGGCAAAGCAGCCACAGAACCAAAGTAGAGATCGTGATACATGGAAGTATTCATTCGCCAAAATCTCCAAATCTAACAGTGGTTACAAGGGTAAGGAACATAACCAATACGAACCTAGAAATCAAGGGAAAACTTCAGGTCAATGCTCTTTCTCTTTGTACTTAGAGAAACAAGTTATTACAAGTAAATAGAGCTAAAACTAATAGCACAGTATCTTCTCATCAACCTAAATTTCACGAGATAGGAGAATCATCATCATTATCCAATCTTATCAGCTTGAATTCCTCTAGAGAAAGTTCAATCACGAAACGCTAAGATACAAGCTATTATGAAACAAAGAAAACGAGCTGCGTAAGACAATGTGGAGCTGGAAAAAGAGAACTCACGGCATCAGCGGTGGAATTATCGGCGTCCATCTCAGGACGGAGCTTGGCGTAAACCTGAGGGCTTTTGTAAACGGATCCTGGAGGAGGTCGACGCTGTATGATTGGAACAACATCGAACGAGACCGTTCCCATGTAAAGGAGCATACAAGAGATATAGATTAGAGGAGCGAATAGGAATATTCCCTGACGACGGAGAAGAACCGATAAGAGGATCCAAGAGAGGCGATGAGCGAGGGTCCGACTTGGTTGAACCGTAGGAAATCTACTACCGGCAGCGGCTTTAGACCTACCGTGACGGTAACGAGGAGAACGGCGAGGAGAAGCCGGAGGAGACGGAGTAGTGTGGCCGCTTCCCGGCAGCCGATTCTTCGCTAGCATTTGAGATAGAAATCGACAGATCTCAATCCCTTCCTCTCTCTCTCTCGACAACGCCTTAATTCATCATTAAACCTATCGCCGGCGGTGGCGGCAGGTCGTGAAATAGGCGGCGATATAAGTCCCCACGGCGGAGACGACGGCGGAGGGCGGTGGCGGAATTAGAAAATAAAACGCCGGGAGAGAGAGAAAGAGAGTGTAATCTATCTGTGAAGGGAGCTTTTTGATTCGTGTTATGCGGTGGAGGCAAAGCCGTGATCAGTCACATGCCCATTACCCTTTTTGAGTTTTTTCTTCTCTTCCTTTGCTTTTTTTTTTTTTTTGGTTGCCCTTAGATTTCAAATTCTATTTAAATCTTTTTAGAGATATATATTAAAGATTTTGATGAACAGTTTTTAGCTAAATCTCTATATTCTAATAGTATATACTAAAAAGTAATTCGTTTTTTTTTGGTACTTCATGTAATTATTTTTTGGGGGTTTTTTCTTTTTTGTGACTTGTGACCTTTGTTTAACTTTTGATTATTTGTGTGAGATATTGAAAATATCCAACAAAGAACTCAACAATATTTTTTTGTCATGTTTTGTATTATGGACAGATAATAATACAATATGTAAACGTATATTTTCTACAATGATGGTATATCTTCTCGTTACAATGAAACTTTATCTATCTACAATTGGGAATTATCCCTTTGAACTAAAAGGAAAAAATCAACTAGTATTAAATATCTAAAATCATATTGCATGAAATCCTTGTATCAAATTTATGATTTTTTATAAATATAATCTATCGTTGGAAACAAATATTTTCCGGAAAAAAAAAGCGTTATCATATACGTATTTTAAAAATAATTAAAAACATCTTTATCATCTAAGTATTATTCAAATAAGAGTTGTATTAAAACATCAATAATATGAAGTAAAAATATTAAATTAAATTAACAACTCAGAACTCAGAAGAGAAAGCCAACACGACAAGCAATGTTGATTCCATGCTCTATTAAGCTAATCTTGAAACGGCACGTGTTTTGGTAAGGAATTAGGGTGTAATTATTTTGATGACAATATTATAATTTTCTAAGCATGATTGCTTGCTTATTAATACTACAATGCAACTTCATAATTTCGTAGACTGAATCGATAATTTTTCTAAGCATATTTTAAATGTTGACTTGTGAGTTACTTAGATTTAGATCTCCACTTATGGATGACATCCGAAAAAACATATTCAATGTTGAGTATGTTGAAGCTGAATCTGTTATGTATGTGGGTACTTGTTGTAACTGTGTGACTTATTAATATAAAGAAATACTAGTCATCATTATTTGGGAAATATTAGGGAGTTAATTAATTAAATAATGTGAGAGTTTTACTAGCAATTAGCCTGTGGCTGTTGCATGTGCAAACTGAGATGCATAGAGAGAGTGGTTGGCAACAGCGACAATATTTATTTTTTTACAAGATAAAATGAAAAGATTCCTAAATTTAGTAAACTACTATATATGCCATTTTGTAATATTTTCTTAGGAAATTTTCAATAGAGAAATATGACCATGACAACAAGACACTAATATTAATCACAAACTCGCATGTTTAAGGTTGTATAGAAGCATAGATCAGTCGTTTAGCTGTCTAAATATTCATCTCACACAATACAAGTAAAAAAAGTTTTTATCTCAAAATCCAAAATGTTTTTTAAAAATGTGTATTGATGTTACTTTTTGTGGTTATCATTGGAAGCCTAAAATTTTTGTCGAGAAATGAAGATTTTTCAAAAGGAAGAATGTCGTGATTGAGAGTTAGTGACACTTGCAAGTTGCTATAAACTCTGTCGTTTTTTCGTATCGTCGTAGTTACAAAAGCTATTCGACGATATTCCAAATCTTACTACATAAGTTTTAATCCTTGGAATCTGCCATGTAGGGTTTTTAGAACTTATATATTTTTTATATATATAGCACTAAATACAAAAAATGAACCATAAGAAAACGATTAGACATAAGATAAAGACAGTTATAAAAAGCCAAATTCAAGGAGGAACCAAATGATGAGAAATAACAAAAGTTTCAATTTTCAACATTTATCGAAATGAGTCACTGAAAAATTATTATTCCCGTGAACACAAACGAGGCCACCAAGAAACCCACTAGCTGACTCAGAGACTTACTTTGCATTTTACTCGTGCAATGTACCGAGGATGTCTTCGTCCCGAAACAGATGATACCTACATCAAAATTACCAACACAAATTTAGAAATTCTGATCGATTAAGAATTTTGGGATTTTAGACATTGTGAGGGGTTTTTAGATCAAATCGATAGTATTGGGGTAATTAATGAAATATCATAAAATTAAAGGATCCGGTGTACGTACTCTTTCTCGCCGAGTTTGACTTCTGTACCGCCGTATTCAGGAAGAAGCACAGTATCGCCTTCTTTAACCGAGACCGGTACTAATTTCCCGTCACTATCCCGTGAACCGGGTCCAACCGCTATCACTTTACCGGAGTTCAGCTGATATCACACCGGAAATTGATCACCAATCACAAATCTCCGGCCAAAATCAGAAAATCAAATCGTACATGAACTTTTAAAAATGGTGTTACTAACTTACCTTGGTGGATTTCTCCGGGAGAAGAATACCGGTTTCGGTTTTCGCCGGCTGGATAACTTTCTGCACAAGTATGCGATTGAATGTTGGAATCAAACGCTTCATTTCGCTCCGATTGTTCGAAATTGTAGGGCTTCAGAGTAAGATGATTGATTTGATTCACCGTAGGGTTTTAGGATTTTGGGGGAATTTGTATATTTTAATGGGCCTCAATTCTATTAAATACTACAATGGGCCTTAACTTAGCCCATTAAGTTTTTTTTGTATCTAGTATTTTATGAATCGGTGAGGACTTGCCATTGAGCTCGAGAGACACGGAGGATGGCGAATCAGAGTACAGAGACGAATCAACCGTCGAATATGCAGACTTACGGTGTTCCGATTTACGCCGTCGATTGGATTCCGGAGGTAGCTGTCAGATCTAAAATCATAATGGATCCGGAGAAATCCGAAGATGATGATGAGTCTTCGTCGTCGTCGTTGTCTTCTTCTTCCCGGAGCTGCATCGTTTTGTCCGGCGGAGGCGGAGAGGGAAGAAGCGGAATCCCTAATGTTATCTTAATATGTCGTGTTGATCTAAACACCAATTCTCTCTCGGAACAACCTGTAAGTGGAAATCTGAGTGTATAGCAGATCTTATGCATTTGCAAGGTTTTGTGATTCCTTGTTTAGATCCGAAACTTGTGATCCTTTTTTCAGTTGGGTAGGCTTGTGGTTGGTACTGATCTGCCTTATCGTATGGCTGTTCATCCTCGGGAAGGTGGTCTTATTTCTGCATTGCCTAATAGTTGCAGGTGAGTAATTCTCATTCGATTTCATAACTCCATCAGCTTCGAAATTTTTGAGTTTGCTATTAGAATTGAAGTTTCTGTATACAAAGTCGTAGTGCATGTGATTTTAGAGAGAAATTATGTCACTTGAGCTTATGGGTTGGAGTAGAGAAAAATTACAAGAGATGAGGTGATAAGTGATGTTCTCTTAATACACAGACTGTTTCATTGGGAAGACATTATGAGCCGAGAGGATAATCAGGCTGGTGAAGAGTCAGAGGAAGTGATTAAAGAGTTAAAAGATGTTGGACAACAGTTGGCTCTGGCTTTTAATCAGGAGGGGTCTGTTCTCGCTGCTGGTGCGGAGGTAAAGGCTCTTTGCTGCAATCTCTTTTTAATTACAGAGGCATCAACTTTTAGTGGTTCTTATGCATTTTGTTTTGATGCAGTATAGGATGGGACTTTGAGGGTTTTTGAATGGCCCAGCATGAAAACGTTACTTAATGAGTCTAAGGCACATTCATCAGTTAAAAGCCTAACTTTCAGGTGTGCTTTCTCTTATCAAATAAGGGATATATTTGCTACTTTTGATGACAAAGGGACTTCGAACACTGATTGTAAACAGATATCCTGATAGTGATATTTTTTCATTTGCAGCGAAAGTGGTAAATTTCTTGTATCTCTTGACGGTCCAGTTTGTCGGGTTTGGGATGTGAATGCTTCTGCTGCCGTTGCCAGTCTATCAAAAGAGAAGGTCAGTTGAGTTTTGCTCTTAGTATCTTTAACTTTATATACACACTTGCAACATTATTGTATTGGATCTGATGAGTTAGAAAATTGAATGAAGGACGAGATGTTTGCCTCCTGTAGATTCTCTGTTGACAGTGCAGGCAATGAAGTTCTTTACATTGCTGCAAACACTGGTAAACTTATATTCTAACAGTGCGCGAGAACATAGAATTTTTTTTTTTTTTTTTGGTTTGTCACTGCTAACAATTGAGGATTGATTTGTTTTTCGTAGAACGTGGTGGGAGTATTATAACATGGGATTCAAAATCATGGAAAAGAAAATGGTCTAAGCCTATAAAAAAGAACTCTATATCAGCCTTTAATGTCTCAGCTGATGGAAAGCTTCTTGCAATGTAAGTTTATCTGTCTTCTCACTTTTGGGACCATCAGATAAAAGTTATACTGTTTTTGGTAGTCATAATTTTTTTCTTAATACAGAGGCACCCTTGAAGGAGATGTTTTAATACTTGAATCGACGAGAATGCAAACTATCCAAGTCGTCAAGAAAGCGCATCTCGGTTTGGTCACAGCGCTGACTTTCTCCCCTGATTCAAGGTTTTTCTCTACTCATTATCAAGTCTCTACTTTAGAACTATCGGTTCAATGATCCCAAACAAGCAAATAGATTAAAAAAATCTCTGAAGCAGAAAAATGAAATCATTGAAAAGTTTTAATTTGGGTTTGGTTTTGCAGGGGCTTAGTGTCGGTATCTTTTGACTCAAGGGCAAGGCTGACCATGATTGAACAAAAGGGTGACAAACGTACGTATATATTTATGTTTCTCCTCTTACCTCTCCATTTAAACAAAAGGCCTAGTTTCCAATCAAAACCTAAACTAAAATGCGGTTTGTCGATGATGAAATTGCAGCTGGAATAAGGTGGTGGCTACTGATTTTATTGGTAGTGTTACTATACGTGGTTGCATATTATTATATAAAGGCAAAGGGTATCATACCTTAAAAAGGCCTTTAAGCGACACCAGAAGACGATACAGCGGAGTGGCTTGTAACCAACATATTATACGCTCTTTGAGTTGGCTTTTTACGTTTGTGTTTGGCAAAGTCGCAGGGATTCTTCACATCTACCAGAAACTTGCTTGCTTTTATATCAATAAAAAATGTAAACTAACACTTTGAACAGTAAAAATTACAATTTGTTTTCCTTTTTTTTTTTTTGTAGACATAGTAAACTACAATACTATTATGGATCAATAAGACTCTTTCAAGTCCTCATCAATCTTAAAGACAGAAAATAAACATATGGTTCCAACTTTCATTGCAGCTTCTTTCATATTAAAACAATGATAGTTACAATGTCTGGAGACTATATATTGAATATTCCCACAGGTTATTAACCTTTTTTTTCCTTTTTCTGCAATTAGATTATTTAGTTAAACTAAGAAATGAAGATTACCGGAGAAAAGATTTTTACTATTGACGCTTCCTTTGGTAGAGAGAGTAACCAACGAGCGCAGACATCAAAAATGTCCATAGTACCTGTTTTCACCATATTACTTTTAATCGTGATATAAACATAAATAATGATGTGATTAGTTTTTTAAAACACAATGATCTTGATATGATACCGTATTGATGGTGTGCCAACGTTCGAGTCGTTTAATTCTTGATTGCATATCTTCTAAAACGTTGTCTATGGAAGAACCATCTCTTCTTGGTGATGATTCCGACACACTGTTACTACTTCCCTTCAAATCGTCAAAAAGGCATAGAAGAACCATTTTAGAGACAACGAAACTAGAATGAGAGAAGAGGATGGAGGACACTTTTGATTACCTGAGATTGTATGAATTCCACAAGCTCTTGCAATCGCGCTGCTTGCTGTGTATGGATTCCACTTGAACTTCTCTGCACCGGTGGCAGTCTTTCCAACACTATTTGAAGGTAACTCTTCATGCAAGAAAACACAAAACGGAATAAATATTGACTGTGTATATAATATGTAAATGATGTTCGAACTAAAGTTGTTTCGAAAAAGAAGTGGAACCTTTGTTGTGTATGAACCATCCAGTTTGAGAGCTGAACCAGCAGCCGTCACAGCTTCTTTGTTAGCGCCTTTGATCTGTATGTATGGACTTGGCACATCTTGGAGATGATCAACTTCAATAAGAATCTTCAAATGCTCAACCAAAAAAAAAAGTCGGCTTTTTAATCTCAAGAAGCTTGTTTTGCATATTAAACTGTTAGCAATGTATCCTCACCTTTCCGTCTTGGTAAATGAAAGCAGAGGCTTCGATATATGCCACTGCTTGATACCTGAAACCAAGAAGAGAGAATATATCGAGTTACAGATATAGAGCAGGCAGAAATCTATTGAGGATGACTGAAGAAAAAATTTATTTGATTTCTTGCTCACCCGAGATTAAGAAGACCCGCCACAGTACTTACGCTAATGTCAAAATCTACTTTGGGCTGAATGATGAAGTTCCCTTCCCTTATTGGCTGTGACACGTTTAGAAGATTAATGAGACATTAGAAAAATAACTGATGAGTTCAATAATTTACAAAGCGTTCATGATTTACAAATAAAAGCCAGACCTCACGTATAAGAACTGCAAACCTGCCCTCGCAGATTCTTACGCGTATGCAGTCACTATCTGACAACTGACCATTCGCAGGAAGCCCAGATAGCCTGAAATATATATCGATAAAATTCTGAACGGAACTGCAGAATTTTGTCGAATCAAGGATGCTGAGAATATCCTGATATGGAACCTTATCAACCACATGAGAGTCGTGAGTGTTTCTGTAAATAAGGAAGCTCAGAATGTGATTATAGTTTAATCCTTACTTGTTTATTGCTCTTCAAAACAAACAAAGAGCTCTCGGGAGAGAGAACTGGATCAAAATCATTTCGAATCTTAACCTGTATTATTGGGAAAAAAACTGTAAGTATGGACACAGATCATATATATACTCAAAACAATTTCGGTTGAGTACAATTTTATAGAATTCAGATTGATTTTTGTTTTTCACTAGCTAATTATAATCATAAAAAAAGAGTAAGCAATAGTAACAGATTCAAGGAAAGATTGTAGAGAACAACACTGGTAGGTGAAATCTAGAATCTCAGGTGTACTCACGTGTGCATGCACTAGATGTGGCTCGATGTGTTGCTGGAACATTGGAAATACGGTCATCATTATCTCATTCTGAGACATGAAACACCCGATTCGGCTTTTATCCCTCTGGACTCTAGAGATAAGATGTGAATGAACACCTCCCACCTGGTTAGTGAAGAGAAACAAAAATCAATATGTTATTGATTAAAAAAAAAATATGAATGGAAGGAAGAAAAGGAACAATATAGTAGACAAGTATCTTACAACAGCAACCCACAGGTCCAAAGATTGTCTGATTTCTGGATGCAATGCATAAACCCCCTCGAAGATGATCTAAAATACGATGTGATATAAAAATCATCAACAACTGCGCCGAGAAAACAACAAAGACAATCACCATATAATATGTGAATACTATGATCACTAACCACACCACACTCTTCAGGAACTTCTAGTTCCTTGAAGCCACATCTGGTGCCAGTCTCCAGGTCAAATACAGGCAGTTTGGTTCTTCGACCGTTTGTAATGTCGGAAATGTTCTGCAAATGAAGTAGAGAGATATTCTAATTCCAATAAAAGTAACCCAAAGGCTGACAGATTACCTTATCATTTTATTTACAAACCAAAGCATTACCTTTGCGAGCAAAGGCAAATCAAGGGAACTAAAATCGTCATGCTTGAAATCTTTGACTTGTTCGGACTTGAAGTAACTTTCAAGGGATACCACTTCACAGCCAACAATATTTGCCATTTTATGAGCCAAGCTAGTCTTACCAGACCCACTAGGACCACCTACAGTGAAATCAGTGTGACAATATTTAGTAAAGGATATAGTTTTTAAGCTCCGTGTCAAAACAAAACAACACAAACAGCGAACAAGCAATATTACCTATTCCGACAATAACAGGGGGTCCTTTATTCTCCAGCAATGCCTGAAAATTACAAGGAAAAGGACCCTTACTAGAAAGAACAAATTCTTCGCAGTAGAATAACATGTGCAAGAAGAAGCAACTTATTTACTTAAGAATAGTTCTCCTATCTTCTTGCAACCCCATTACCTGTATTGCTTGAACAGAAAGTAGCAACCCTCTATCCAAGTCGTATGAATCAGGCATAGGAACAAGCCGCATATTATCCCTGAAAGAGGAATCTGTGGCTGCTTGATGAGAAAGCCTAGGCATAAATGCAATGATAATGCTACTGAAATACATTTCATAGCCGATAACACTACGACAAGGAAAATATCAAAAGGAAAACCATCAATCTTCAAAAACGACGGACATACCTACTACAGAGCTTACTGAATGAGGTGGATCATAAGAGGTGAAATGCCAAGTTGCAACCATCGGTTCCATTTGGGATTTCGTAGGAGATCGAGTCCAAGGCTGCGATAAATCCTCAAGGCGGGTAACGATGTTTGGGGTAGTTCGGATAGGTTTTGGTGCAACAATTTGCTTCTCTTGGTTGGTGATTACAGGAGACGGTTGCAAAAGTGGAGGTGTATTCAAGCGTGGTACACCTGCAAAATGGGTAAGCTTATAGAAATTAAAATTCTGTTGCACTGCAGAGCATAAGAAAGGATAAATAGTGGAAACAAGCATGCTATATCCAATTCCCTGACCTTTACTTTCAAGGATCAGTTCCAGGTATGATTTGGTGATCCAGGGCCCAGTGATGCCCATTCTCAGAGCTTCAGCTCCCACACTCTATCCAAAAAGATCTATTAAAACATGTATATCAAAAGGGATACTGAAAAAGCTAAACTCCTCACTACTGAGAGAGAGAGAAAAAAAACAGCTAAAACAAATGTTTACTAGAGTCTTTTCTGCATTGAAGATCGATGTGCTTGTTCTTAAAGAGAATTGTGGGTTATTACCTTCCTATCTGTCCCTCTCAGAACCAGGAAAGTCTCTCCAAGAGTATCGATCGTTTCACGTGATAGGGATAAATTACCATAACTGACAGCAGTTGAAGCTCTCTTATAACTCACAACAACATTGTAGCCTAAAGCTAGCAACCCTCCAAGTGTCATCCGTCCAACCTGCTAGACAACAGAAATTAAGTCACATAGAGAAGGATTGTAAGGAGTATCTTTTAAAAGGATGTGTGCAAGCTGCCTGTCATCTTGACCAGATTCCACAAATATAGACATGCCTCTTCAGTAGATAATATGAGAAATTAACAAAACCAAGGTAAGTATTTGACCAGGAACCAAAAACAGTATAATTTTACATAACCCCATTCCTACCGTTATCTTTTGCATCAACAATAAAGAGCTAGCGATACCTCACAGTCCATAAAAAAATTACAGAACAAGGAAGAAGGATACACCAAAGAAATGCTTCGGCAATTCCATGTAATAACTCACCTCAAACTCAGCTTTAGGCCGGATAATGAAATGCTTGTCAACAATCCTTTGGTCTCCAAGTGACAGATAGTACCTTATACCAGCTTGACGAACTTTTATCCAGTCATTTATCCGTGCCTCTTCGCTTGCAGAAGGAGGTCTGAGGTACATCTCAATAAAGCTGAAAGCAGGAACCAACTCACCAAGTCAGCATGCCTATGAAAATCCACTAAAAATCTTAAATTCACACATAATAGAAGAATCATTCTTACTTATCCTTCTGTGCGTCGCTTTCTTGAGCAAAGGAAGTTACTATCTGTTACATGAATTTTAGTCAAGTGGTAAACATAGGCCACAACAGGAAAACACAACAACTGGAAGAAACTACAGACCTCAGTTTTGCATTTCAATTTGTATATGGCTTCCCGAAATGATGAAACAAAACTATTGTTGATTCTGATCTGCACACTCCCAACAAACGAAGAAGTCAAACTTCTGAACACTAAAATGGAGAAAAAAGAAGACAAAACCAACCTGGGCATGATGGAGATCTGGCTCAATATGCTTTCTAAACAATGGGAAAATGCTGTCGATGAGGTAATCAAGCGAACACGAATCTCCAATATCATAACGGACTTTAGAGAGAAGGCTAAAATGAACGCCCCCAACCTAACCACGGAGAGAATAAAATGATATCATATTC